ATTGGCGCGGATATGGTATTAGTGAATGCACATGGGAACCAAGAAAGAATCTTGCAAATGCAGCAAAGGCGGTGGAGGCTTTTCATCGACGACATCTATCAAAATCAAGATGAAAACCTTCTTTATAAAAGAAACAACATCTAGGCAAGATAACATTCTACTTTCAATCCTTGTTCGTAGTTTCTTTGTAGTTGTGACATTCACGAGATGGAGAACTAACAACCAGTGGATTCGACTCAAGAGCCTTCATTTACTGACCTATCGGATGAGACATTATGATTGTCACAACCTTCAAGACGATGCAATTGGGATGAAGATCTTCAAGAAGGACATGTTCTTCTTCGAATAAATGGTGAGATACAACGCATTTGGTATCATGATTTGAGAGGGGACTCCCAATGTTTGGTGATTTTGCTAAAGGTAGGAACAACTCTTGATGGTGTTCCAAATGTTCTATTCGAAGGAAGTTATGAAGGCCTCAACAATGATCAAATAACTGAGTGGTCTTGCCGCCCTGGTATAGGAGACTACTAATGATTGAGAGGCCCTATCAATCATCTTCGAAGAGAACAAAGATCAGAGTATGTGGCGAATACAATTCGTCGCATCATAGATTTCTTCAACATATGATGATCGCTCCTCGTAGAACTCGTCTCTAGAAGGGGGGGTAATGTCACGGATATACTCATATAAGCTAGTAATTACATATAAAAGTAGGTAAAAATAAGTTAATTCTATAGTTTTTAATAGGAAAGCTTCCTAGAAGCTTTATAGATGCTCCTTTGACTTCATAGGTGTCTTTAATTGACTTTTTGGATTAGAAACGTGGTCAACAAGTTGGCCATGTGCCACACATGTTGTTAGCTTGAAGATCAAGCTAACTATGTGGCCTACACGTAGAAAAACTTGCCTTGTAAGTCAACGCATGTATCCTACAAAGTCAACACATATTGGAGGTCCTATAGAACGTCATCACGTAGCCCCTAGTTAGATAGTATATATAGAGACAAGAGTGAAGCCTTCTTCACTCTTGTCAATTCCTTTCTTGCTTCTAGTCTAGTTTCAAGGGTCTCTAGTTTTCTTGTCTTTTGGCAATAGCCATACTAGTTTCTCTTTCAATATACATACTTATTTATTTATATTTTGTTACCTTTCTTTGAGTGAAGGCTCACTTTTTTGAATTACTTTTTTCATCTAGTTCTTATCCTTGACACCAACATCCTAGAGGTTTTGAGAGCTTTTCTTTCAATTGGTGAATTTGATTCTTTTAAAATTTTGTGTAATTATAAATTTCTTATAGATTAAAATATTTGTGAGATTTAATTAAGATAAATTATTCAATTAATATTTATTGAGGTTTTAAAATAGTTGTAGTAGTTGATTAAGATTTAATTAGGATTTTTTTTGGATTGTTTTGGATTTTTCTAGAATTTCGTTAGGATTTATGATTTAATTAAGATTTGATTAAGATTTTATTAAGGTATAGAATTTGATTAGAATTTGATTAGGATTTGATTAAAATTTAGTTAAGATTTAAAATTTGATTTTAGTTTGGTTAGGATTAATTTAGGATTTCACTAGGATTTGATTCAAGATTTGGCTAAGTTTTTATTAGAATTTTATTAAGATTTGGTCTGAGATTAGGATTTAGGATTCTATTATAATTTTTTAGGATTTATTTAGGATTTGATTAGGATTTAATTAAAATTTAATTAAGAATTATTTAAGATTTCATTAGGATTTGATCTAAGGTTTGATCTAGGTTTAGGATTTAAGTTTTGATTAGGAGTTGGTTTAGCATTTAATTAAATTTTTATTAGGATTTTATAAAAATTTCTCTTGGATTTGGTTAAAATTTTATTGGGATTTTATTAGGATTTGTTAAGATTTAATTAGGATTTTTTTTTCAATTTTTTTTAAAGATTTGATTAGGTTTAATTTAAAATTTTATTAAGATTTGATAAGAACTTTTTTTAGGATTTATTAAAGATTAAATTATAATTTAATTAAGATTCAATTAAAATTTCTATTTTTAATATTTATTTATATTTTTTATTATATATATTTTTAATATTAATTTATGATTAATTTATGATTTTTTGTAAATTCTTTGATATTTTTTTTAAAATTTAATTAAAGATTGATTAGCATTGTTATTGTTTTATTAGAATTTATCTATGAATCTATTAGAGTTGTTAGGATCTTCCTATTATAAGTTTAATTTTATATTTCACAGCCAAGCGCCTAATGTGTTTTCAAGCAAAATTCATAAAATATGACAATATGTTGATAGCTAGTTGTACAAGCTAACTATGTGGCGCACACATAGGCAACTAGTCTTATAAATTAGACTTATGTCTTTCAAGTTTGATTTGTGTTGGAGGTTCTAAAAAATATTATCACATAGCTCTTAATTTGATAGTATGTATGGAAACAAGAGTGAAACCTTATTCACTTTTGTTAACACCTTTCTTATTCTTAGTCCTTTTTTAAGAGATTCTAATTTTCTTGTCTTTGGCAATAGCTATTTTACTTCAATATCATACCATCTTTAAGTGATTATCTACTCTTTTAGAGTGATATAAGAGTATATTTATTCTTTGGTTCTTTGATATTCATGTTCTTGACACCATTTTAATTTCAATTTTATATCTATCTTTTTAGTTGTCAATTTTCTTTCTTTTGGTGATATAAGAGTGTATTATCATTTTTAGAATTTTATTGTATTTCATGTATTTGATAATTTGTTATATACAATGTTATATATCTATAAACTATAGTTATCACAATATTACTTTATTGTAAAAAATATTATGCAAATTTTTTATAACTCTTATTAATTCTTTTCTATCTATAATTTAAAATTTTCAAAAGATATATCTTGTAAGAATGAAAAGATATTTTTTTAAAAAATAAGATATTTTCTATCAAATTCAAGTTGAAAAAACTTATATTGTTCTTTGTGCTCATTGATTACTATTGTTAAATATAATTTACTATTATTTAATAATAACAATTTAAATATTAAAAGATTAAAAATTTAAAAAATAATGTCTTACTGCAAAAAATAGATCCATTTTTTTAAAAATCAAGATGATTTTTTTTTTTTTTTTTTTTTTTTTTTTTAACAATTATGGCTTATCTACTTTCAAATCAAAATTTCCACTTTAATCATCAAAGCAATAAATTATTCAACATTCAATCCAATTTTAATACAACATTATATTATAATATATGATGGTTAAGAGTTTTGAATATTTTTTTTGTAAATTAAATTATTCAGCACTTTGTTTATTTATAAAATTTAAAATTTAAATTCATAATTAGTTTTTTTTTAAAAAAACTTTTAGGAAAAATTGAAGAGACATTATAGTATATTTTTTTGCATCCATTGAAAGTTGAATCATATCATGTACATAGAGATGATATTATATTCAATTATACAATAGTTGAATAATAGTATTATTATTTCATGAATAATTTCATAATATTCATCTAAAATTTTGATCTCTTATTGAGTATTCTTACATTGAAATTTTGTTTTAATTTCATCCATTATAAACATTCTTATTCAAAGTCTCTTTTTACCAATTACATCTCAACAATGATTCTAAACAAGAAGTAATTTCTTCCTTTTTCTTTTTACCATAAGAAGATTGAATGTGATAGAAGAGAAGTATGGTTTTTTTTCAATCAACTGATTAAAATTACTATGAATGTTTTAGAAAGATTGGCTAGTGTGTTGTTATTTTGAGTGATTTCTTCTTTAGTCCAACTTTATTCTCTCCTTGTGTTTTCTAGACATTCCACACTTCCTTCAAACTAAGCATTCACAAGAAGCCAATGCATAGTTCTTGCATTATCCATTTCTAAGGATAAAAAATTTAAAAAGTTTAAAAAATAAAATTAAAACTAAACAAATTTTTTAGAAAATAAAATTTCCTCCTCCGTCAAGAAAAAAGTTAGATTCTTCAACCATGTCCTACATATCAAACTTTCGTCCTTGAAACAAGTTTTCTAAACATATTTCTAGAGTCCACTGTCCTCATAACATGGCCTCAATAGTTAAAGATCACGAATCTTCAACGTATTCTGCATTTTCGTAAAAATTCATGTTCCAATCTGACGTGGCAGAGGGATTACATGGCACAGAGGCATGCATCCCCAAGTCCGACGTGGACAGAGGGGTCTTGGTCGCAACGCCGAAGCGTCGGCTGCGCGTCGAAACCCGATCGTGAGCAGGACCAAGACTCTAGATTTCGAGCTCCACACGCGCCCCGTCATATGTGGGTCGTCGGCACTCGAAGCTCCAGATCCGTTTTTGCTAGATGTATAGCTCCAAACCGCAGTAGATTGGTGCCACAGATGGGCACCATCGACGACTGCCAACAGAGCTTCTCGACGCCATTTGGGTGCCACGACTGGGCCACTGCCAATGACATCGATGTGGCCGTCCATGTCCCTTCGTCGATCACCACATGTTGCCGTCCATGTCCCTTCGTCGATCACCACATGTTGCCGTCCATGTCCCTTCGTCGATCACCACATGTTGCCGTCCATGTCCCTTCGTCGATCACCACATGTTGCCGTCCATGTCCCTTCGTCGATCACCACATGTTGCCGTCCATGTCCCTTCGTCTATCACCACATGTTGCCAGGTGGGGACCACTTGGACCACACCCTTGCCGCTGCGGCTGCTCTCGTGATAGTGCTGCCTCTCCGTTACAGCTTCTGAAACAAGTCCCTTTACGGAGGAGTGAGGTGGGAAGAGGTGGTGGCGATTTTCATTGTTTCAGTTTCTATATTTAGTCGATGACGGGGTCCTCCGTCGAAGGTGCAGCGAAGGATATCTTAGCGGGGTGTTCACGGAATTGGCTTTAACTTCTGGTAGCTTCGGATGCAGCTGCGGTGAATTGGTTGGGGAATGATGACCTGGATTTGGATGCCGAAACTTCGCGCCTCGTTTCCCTCAAGTGTGTCCCACATATATCCTTTGAAGCTAACTGACGAGGTCATTGTTGATCAATCAAGCGGATCCAGCGTTGGGTGGCGTATCCTTGTGTGGACATTTTGACGTGGTGAATTTTGAAGGAGTGGAGTTGTTCGTGACAAGTAGGTATCGGCCTAGCGATTGTGCACAGGGTTGTGAACTTGACGAAGAGTGTTACGTGGACAATACATTCATATTAGTGATTGTGACTCCTTCGTGGCACAGATGGAGCTCACCTGCTCAGCACGCTTGCTCTGTCATGAGTCTGGTCTGTCTTTTCTCGGTCACGCGAGGAAGCTAAATCTTGCTCCAAAAACTCGTCAAGCCAGTGCAGCTACTACTCGAGTCTATCGTGCTCCATCAGCTGTTCAGCAATCCGCAAAGAAAGAATCGAAGCGGGCTCGGCGACCTGAAAATGTAGAGGGCGAGTTCTATGTTGGTATGGGTCATGCTCCCAATAACTATTGTTTCTTTTAGTGCATCTTTCATATTCTCGGCATGGAAACTCCTGAAAAGCGTTTCACCTCACCTCTACCTAATTGGTGTGTAGTTTATGTCCATGGTGGTGTAGACATGAAAATAGCTGACAAAATTGCGCACATGTTGTGGGGTGGCAGATCATACGTGTATTGACTGTGATACGTGCCGCTGGATGGCTCCAGTAAGTAGCGCAACTTGCCTTCATATTGACTTTCTTCAGTTTTCGGTATACTAGTGGTAGTTTTGAAATAAAAAAACCATCCAAATGCTGTCATATAATTTATTGTTGGCGCAGACTGTGTTCAAGCATTCAAATCCTCAATCAGCCGTGTACCACCAGCCAGAATCTCCGGAGGAAAGATTAAAGGCTCTTCAGGCTCTCCTGTCATGTCCAACGTCGTCTATTCATACTGAGCGCCCTCCTAAAGACATTAAGCAGGCGCATGATTCATTTCCCATTCCTGTGGATGCTGACGAAATTCAGGCAACTTTCCCTCAATTTAAAAGCCAACTTTTTGATGTCATTTCATGGCGACATATGTTGCGCTGCAACTGTCGCATAGCACTGTATTTCAATAGTGCGCTAGCGTGTGAGTTATTGTAGCTGCAGGAAAATATCGTTGGACTACGGTCTAATGTTCTGGCCATAATGCAGGGAGTGTACCATTGTGGATATCATTCAGAGTCGTCATTTGCTGCAAGCTCGTATTTCATTACTCGCCCTGATGGAAACATTCTCATAGACAGGTGCGTTTTTTTCCCTTACTTTCGAAGGAAGACAGAATGGTCGGAGCCTGATGTGTTAAGTTTTGGTGCGAGTATCTCCGAGAGAACTATTGCTGCGTGGAGATTGATGCCGGTTAAAAACTCATGATCTTATGCAGTCCTCGCTATTCGGAGAATTTGGCGAAGAAGTTCGAGGCAATGGGTGGGATACGCTATATGTTTCTAACGCACAAGTAAGTATTCGCCAACAATAGACGTGAAGTCTATCTCCTCACTTGATCTACAGAAAGGAATTGAATCGATCTGCACTCTTTGCAAGTAAAGTGGCACTCATCGATTGATCACGTTGGGTTGGCAGAGACGACATAGCAGATCACAAGCGTTGGCAAGCTCGATTCAACTGCGAGCGTATTCTACATGAACTTGAGGTAAGTCAATGTAGTTCTGTACGGTTAAATTATCACACATTTTGGCAAATCTGGAGCGGATCAATGTGAATTTTGTCTATCATTCTGAAATACGTTATTTTTTCTTTCTATGTGGTGATGTGCAGGTGCAGCCGCAGACGGAGTGTGTGGAAATAAAACTACAAGGCCAAGGTCCATGGAACTTCTTAGGCCCCGACATTGATCTTATCTTCACTCCTGGTCACACAAGGGTGAGCTCATTCGCGAATTCACTTTCCCTCATATAACAGCCGATTTTTGTTTCAACTACTTTTGGGTTTTAGGAACATCAAGCTTTCCTTTCGACTGGACTTTAATTTTGTTGTGGTGTTTACTCAGGGACACGTCTGTTTACATTACAAGAAAGGGAATGGTGTTCTTTTTTCTGGTGATCATTTGGGAGGTGACGAATCTAGTGGACTGGAGCTCTCAGCAAACATGGCTATAACTTATAATTGGTATAATGGTATGTGATATCCAATCTAAATTCAAAATTTAAACTCGAACGCAAGTTTGTCTTATTTTCCAATAACGTTGAGCTTGGAGGTTGATGTAAGATGATAGGAAATGTTCAAGCTCATTACCTGTGGTCTGGAATGCAGTAAATATCCTGCTTGAGAGCTTGCAAAAGCTACTCCCTCTGGAGTTTACATGGCTGTTACCAGGTACATCACAGTTTCGCGTATTCTCGCGTGCTATTATGTTCATGTTCATGCTGAGATGATATATGTTCTCTTTTGAATTGCAACTTCTAACTCTTACTCTGGGATTCTCTTTCTTAGGTCATGGACGAAGACGACATTTCAGTAGCTTAGAAGAAAGGGACGTCATCATCAAGGAATTTTTGGCGCGGTGCCGCGTATTGATTTCAAACTGAGGAAGAGTCAAAGTGTATAACGATGTTAATTTGACAGTTGTATCACTTTGTGTATAGCACTTGTATAATATTTATATTCTCTATGTGCAACGGGGTACTCATAAAATTATGGATTGGCTTGCGAAAACGAAAACAGTGAACACAAGTGAAAAACTGCTGGATATATATATATATATATATATATATAATTTTCCTCGCCTTTGAAACAGATTCGTAGACTGAGCATCGTCAAGTGCGACTCAGAAGGTTCTGTGGATTAGAAACATGTGAACAACCTATCGTCATGTAAAAAAACAAAACCTTTTATTTTACTCAGTATGAAATGGTCCACCTCTTTTCTCTTGAGAACAGGTTTCTTTGTAAACGAAAAGCCAATTGCTAATTGTTATCCTTGCGAAAGGCCTTGTATAGTTGCATCCTCAGCATATTATAGTGCCCATCAACCTCATCACAACAATGGAAAATTGTAATCTCATGTAACGCTGATCTACATTCATCCTGGGAGTGTAACGTGTCCAAATGTTTGTAAACGTTTTACTTTTCAATGTACCCAATGCATCCTGTTTTAAACATCGACAACCGCAATGCATTGCCTCTCGCATGTTACCAGCACGCTCCCGTTCCCGCTCATCATGTATGTATGATCTAACTCCTCACTCCAAAGCGTCCCGCAACCTCGTAATCTCCGCCACCAGCTCCTTGACTTCTGGTAATCGCTCTCTCACGCTCACCATTTCCTTCGCAGGAGCACACAAATGGGGACATACTTTCGGATCATCAAATTGTTCGTTTCTTCGAATCCTGATTGGAATTGCTTCCCAAGCAATCACATAGCTCATCATCGAAGTTTCTAAGTTTTATTAAGGCATAAAATAATTCAGGAAGTTGCTCATTTTAAAACAGGAAATCTTTATTTGGAAAGGTTACAAAGCAAAACCATGAGGTTTCTTTTCTTTTCTAGTCTTTGTGTCTATGATATAACTTGCTTGTTTGAGTGTAGATTTTGAGTGGTGGATTTTTAATTCATATTAGGCATATTTCCAAGCTGTCAAGAACTTCTTTTGAGAATAGTGACATGAATCTTATGCTTCTATTTTTACTTGCATGATTGTTTGATTTTCTAGGCTGCAAATGATGGAATCATTTGTTGACAACTAATTTGTGATTTGTTTATTTTCAATAATCATCAAGTATAATATTAAAATCCTACTAACATTGATTCAAACTTTTACTCATGTTGCCATGGTTCAAACATTAAATTCACAATTCTTGTGATATAGTTTTTTTTATAGAAGTTATAAGTATTTTTATAGTTGATATTAAAACCCTCATAATTAATCAAAATATTCAATAGTATCAAGGAAATGAATCTTGAAGAAAAAAATCTCTAATATACTCTTTTGTCACTCAAAAATACTAAAAATTCACTCAAAGATGGTAATAGATTGAACTAGAATAGCTATTGCCAAAGATAAGAAGACTAAAGAGTTTTGAAAAAAGTTTGAGGATTAGAAAGGCATTGACAAGAGTGACAAAGGCTTCAATCTTGCCTTGATATATACTCTTTAATTATGAATTACACAATAATATTCAAGATGACCCAAAACTTGTGTTGACTTAGCTAGACACATATCTTAACTTGCAAGGCAAGTTTTCTATATATGTCACATAGTTAGCTTATTCCACAAGCTACTAAGATGTATGATATGTGATTAACTTATTGACCAAGTTTCTAACCTACCAATCAACTATAAAGAATTGAAAAGTCAAAATCGCATCTATAAAGCTTTTAGGAAGCTTCTCTAGAAGATATTATAAGATTAATCTACATTTACTTATTTCTACCTAATCATATAAGTATTTATTAGAATAAATATATATATATATCTATTATATTATCCTCTCTTCTATAGCCAAGTTTCATAAGAAGTAGTCATCATTTTTTATGGATCTTGCTATTCTTCATCTTGGTTTTCATGGATATCATTGATCAAAAGCCTCGATCTTCTTTCATACATTTGCAAGATTCTTTGCTAATGCCTATGTACATTCACTAATATCATATTTGCACCAATGAACAAGAATTTGTCAAAAAATAATAGATATTATTAGTCAAGAAAACTAAACCTAGTCTAGACAAGTAAGCTTCCAAAAACTTAAAAAGTGTTGCTATCACTTGACTTATACTTCTCCAACCAAGTCTTTGTTTATGGAATCTTTCAAAGAAGTGATTGTCACATATAATGGCTTAAGGAATAAATTACTCAAATAAATATGCTCTTACTATTATTAATAATAAATCTATGACATCTTTTAATGTATATCAAAATTGATTAATAAGGACTTTGTCATTTCAATCTGTGTCACAAGCAAGTTTTTGGAATTGAGTAACATATGTAGTAGCTAAACGTGATCTTTTATAGTAATATGAGCTTAGTCTCTACTATCCTTTTTCAATCACTTTCTCCAAATGTAGTTATAAATACTTCTAAGAATGAATTCAAATCACAAAGTAGTTGTGAAACTTTTTCCATCAAAGATGCAAACTAAGAGAGAGCACTTTTTGATAGAAGTGCATCTATGAATCCAACTTGGATAAATCCATTAGGATATTAGAAAGAATGAAACCTTAAATAGAGTTTAATTTATTACAAAAATCCTTGAAATTTTGATTTTTTTCTATCAAATTTCTTAGGCATATTAATCCTTGCCTCTCTCTTGTGCTTATAAAAGCGAGACTTCTTAAATTTGGTTGTAAGGCTGATCTATTTGCTTCCTTCAACTTCACATTTTTTTGGTGTAGATTCTAGACTTCTTTCATATGTGTAGAAATAATATCTCCATGATTCATATTAAAAATATGTGAGATTTTTACTCTTAGAATATTGATAAGCTCGTGAAGATTTGCAATAGTTGCAAATCTATTTTCACTTTTGCTGAGAGTAGCATCTAAAATCTTTTCTTTTATAGATAATTCAAATCAATTAAAAAAATTAAGTTAAAAGAAGATAATCCATAATTTCTAATATAAAATAAAGATTTCTATAAATAAAAATAATCTACTTTTTTAAAGAAAAAAATAAATTTTAGAAAATTAAATTCTTTATTTAAAAGTGGATGCTTTATAATCTTAAAAAGACAACAATAGAAGTGAGATAATCCACTCACTTCTAAAATAAGACAGAAATAATAAGTTAGAACTCTTATCAAATTATCAAAGACATGAATTTTGAAAAAAACAAATCCTCAATACACTCTTATGTCACTTAAAAAGACTAAAAAATTACTTAAAGATGATAACAAATTAAATTAGAATGGCAATTTCCTAAGATAAGAAGATTAAAAAGTCTTGAAACAAGACTAAGAACTAGAAAAGTATTGATATGAGTGAACAAGGCTTCACTCTTATCTCTATATATACTATCTAGCTAGGAGTTATTTAGCCATGTTCTATAGGACCTCCAATACGTATTGACTTTAGTAGACACATGATTTAACTTACAAGGCAAGTTATTTATATGTGCACCATGTAGTTAGCTTGTTCCACAAACTATTGAAATATGTATTATGTAATTAACTTGTTGACTAAGTTTCTAACCTACCAATCAACTAGAAATATATATAAAATCAAAAATACAATTATGAAGCTTTTAGAAAGTTTCTTTAGAAGATATTATAAAATTAATCTTTATTTTATCTATTTCTATTTTATTCTATAAGTAATTATTAGAGTTAATATGTATGTTTCTTACAAATAGTTTTTCAAAGTTGCTAAATTTGATGCATGTATATATATATATATATATAATGAATCAAAAAATTATTTCATTGTAGACATATTTTGGAAAGAATAGTGTATTACAAATGTTTTGTAGTGAATAATGACATGTGGTTTGTATAGCAAATGAAATATTTATTTATAGCTACCAAATGAATCCAATTTGAAAAGAATCCATTAGGTAATTGTGGAAGTATGACCAATCTAAGTTGGAATAGTATTAAAATAGTTTTTTGAATGTGGGATCTTATTTTTGGATACTATCAATTATTCAATATTATAGCATTCTTTCATCATCTAATTTACTATGGTAGTATTATTACTAATGCAATGACATCATTTAAGCTTACTAGGAGTTATAAAATCACCATTCTTAATTACAATTTCTAATACAAAATTATTCCAAATTACCACATACTTGGCCCTTATAGAATCTTTTAAAAATTTTTAGAACTTTCTAGATACTTATAGAATCTTCCTCAATCTCTTAAAAAAATTCCATAGCTTTTTCAAAATATCTTTACGCTTCTAGAAGCTTCGTTAGACTTCTAAATACTTCCATAGAAAGTACCATAGACTTTTATAACCTTCATTATAGTATATTAGGAGTCTTTAGAACCACTTTTGCTATCAATCTCATTCTTTGTCTTTAATCTTGATATATTTCTTTATCAAATTTTTATATCCTGAACAATTCCTTGAATAACTATGAGATCCATTCCATGTTCTTTTTGAGACAACAACATCTTTGCTTGTCTTCATTCTCAAGAATCTTATAGCCAAATTATTTCTAAACTTAGGTATAATAAATTTACTATCTTTAGACTAGCAAAAAAAATAAAAAACCTTATATTAGGCAGATCAAAGAAGCTCACTGTAATAAATGAGAACAATTATTTGCCAAATCAACACTAGGATGGTTGAAAATACTATTGAGATTGCTAAAAATCTTAACAATATTATTAATAATCCTATGTCAACCCAAATCATTTGAAATGTTTTCAAAAAATGGAATATGAAAGCCGTGGTGAAAAATAAAAAGCCACTACTATCTACTTGCTATTAGAAATAATGCGTGGATTTTGCTCTGAAGTATAAGAAATGGATTGTGGAGGATTGGAAGAGGATTATTCTTTAAAATGAGACAAAAATCAACAAATTTAGATCAGATGCCAAAAAGTGGTTGTCAAAATAAAAAAACTAGCCCTTGCTTCACAAGAAGATCCAAGAAACACTGAAGCATAGGGGTGGAAATATAATAGTGTGGGATTGTATTGAATAGAATGGGATTGGGAGGATGGCAAGGATTGAGGAAAAGATAGACGTCAAGGAATTTGTGGAAATTCTTGAAGAAAACGTGCTCCTTAATATTAAAGAATTTGGCATTTTTGAAGAAGAAGTATATTTTTAGCAAGATAATAATCTCAAGTATAATTCAAAATTAGAATGGAAGTGATTTGATCATCATGGGATTAAAGTAATAGATTGGCTTGCTTAGTCTCCTGATCTTAATTCCATTAAACATCTTTGAGAACCACAAATATTAGCTCAACACTTGCAAGATAAAACCAAAAAAAAAAAAAAAAAATGGAAATTATAGGAAAGAATAGCTGTGGAACAGAATAATATTGAAGTAGTTTTGTACCAAAAGTTAATAGAAAGTATGCCTAGGAGGTTGGAAGCAGTTATCAAGGCTAAAGGAGGTTCTATAAAGTATTAATATATAATTAAATACGACACTTAAAAAACTATTTTAATATTATTTCAAATTGGACCGATCATAGCTTCATAATTACTTGATGGATTTCTTTTAACCTAGGCTCATTTACTAGCTATAAAAGAGTACTTTATTTATTATATAAACCACGTGTCATTATTCACTACAATTCATCTATAATACACCATTCTTTTTAAAATATGTCAACATTAAAACAATTTTTTGAATCACTGTATGCATACAAATTAAAAATCCAATATGATGACTTATTTAAATTTAATATTTTTGTATTGATATATAAGTTTAGTTATTATTATTTCAATTTTTGATTAGTGACTTGGTTTACACACTCTAAGATAAAATTGTCAAAGCTTTATAATAATAATATCTATAAAAATTATATTATAGTAAATTTCTTTTATTTTAATTTGATAAATTAAAATTACATATATATATATATATATATAAGGTAATGCTGATGCCACCATAGTATTTGCTATTGCTATTATTATCCACCAACCATTCAAAATATTCTTTTAATTTTTTTTATTCTAATAAAAAATTGTTGATATTTTTTATATGTTTTTTATTCAAATAATATATATATATATATATATATATATATATATATAAGATTAGAATTTTTCTAATAAAAAAATTTAAAAATTGATTATGATAAGTTGTGGTGGTAATAACAAAAACCATGGTGGCATTAGCAACACCTTCTAAATGTATTCTTTATTGTAAATCTCTCAACATGTTTAATTAAGTTCAACTAATAAAATAATGATATTTAAAAAAAATATACCTTTAATTTTTAAATTTTTTATAGTTATGAATGTAATCCTATTATCAACACAAATATTAATGTAATTTTGTGATTTTTATGTTTATTTTAAAACAGATTTCTGAATTTCTAAGACTTTCAAAACTTAGAGTTAAAATTGTTTTCTGATTTAATCAAAGAAATTTAGTACATTAAAATGTCAAGTAAATTAATATTGAATCTTTCATTGATAAAAAATAAAATAAAATATAAAAAGAAAAGAAAAGAAAAAAGAAGCAAAGTAATAGATAAAACAAAATTTAAGCTTCTTTCATATTTGAATCTAAAATTAATGCCAAAGCAAAACTTCTGAAAACGTGAAGGATTTTTAAAGCTCAATCAGATATATAAAACACATCATAGAACTTGTAGAAATTTCAGTCATGTCAAAACTCAACTTTTATACAAACACTTCTAGAAAAATATGTAAAATGGAATCCTTTTTTTTTTTTTTTTTTTTTTTTTTTAAAGTTAAAAAAATGCCCCCAACACTGAGTGTGAAGGCCTAAGAAGCCAGTTTCAGAGTTCTCGACCAATGAGAGCAAATAATTTCCCTCACCATTGGTCTGAAATGCTCCAAAGCATCCCAAAAAGGAAGCTTCGGAGAAGGAGGAGGGGGAGGCTCTTCCAGGGAGCTTAGACAACGTGTCACATGACCAAAGAGAGCGGGGAATAAGGATTGTTCTCTCGTGGGGAACAAACGTGCCCCGGGGATTCGAAAAGCACCCACCGTACGGTGCACCACCCATCGTTTCCACGGGTCCCACCCACCCGGCCCGGGCCACACGCTCCCCGCCCTTTCTCCACCCGCGCGGTCGCGCCCTGGCGGCGTGGCTATGGCAACTCCCCCCACCCCACTTCACCCCACTTCACCCACTTTCCATTTCGTCGCTGCCGTGCTCGCTCGCCTGCTCCTTGCTTCCGCTCCAACTCAAGCTGAGCTGAATTTGTTGGGTTTTGACTTCTTCCCCCCACGCTCGTCCAAAGTCGCTGTTTTGATCCGTCTCTGCTATGGCTACCTTCGCTGAGGCTCCCAAAGGTAACGAGAAGGCTGGGGAGAAAATCTTCAAGACCAAGTGCGCGCAATGTCACGCTGTTGAGAAGTCTGCCGGGCACAAGCAAGGTGGGTGCCTCGTCTTAGTTTGAGGGTTTCCGACGTGGGTTCTTTTTTTATTATTATTTTTTTTGTGTAAAAAAATAAAAATAAAAATAATTTTGTCTTTGTAGTCGTTTGACACATATCATTTGGTGTTTTTTCGTACGTTGCTGTTGCATTTTTTCAATTCATACCCAGGATTTTTGTGTGCGATGACGAGAATTGAACCCGACCTTTGTTGGTATCTGAGTAGCTTTGCTTTTGGTTTTTTTGGTCGTGTCACAGGGAAGAAGTAATCGTAATGTCTAGATTGGTACTCTTGCATTTGTAATTTCTTCTTTTCCTCGATACTGCGAGCTTTAGTCGGGTGTTTACAGTCGAGGGTAACTATGGATCAGTTCGGATGAGACTATGGTGCTGTAATATGAGATGGCGTCAGATCTGTGTTTCTGTTTGTTACAGTATTCACCTAGACGTGTACTGTTTGAGATTTCTTCATTGTGGCTAAGCCCTTCACTGGAATAATGTGTTTCATTGTTTAGTGCTGTTTTTGAGTTATCTTTTTACTGAAGTTCTATCGTCTCGTAGGCCTCATCAGTGTGTCAACAATTTTCCTACTTGAGCTACACAGATTGCTCTTTTTGTCACGATTTTGAGTATTTTTGCGTAAAATTCAGTCGCCAGAGTTGTCTAGTCACTAAAATTTCCTCTTCTAGAATTGGGTTTGACACATTTCGACGATCATATTGGCAAGCAAACTAAAGCATCCTGCTCTTCTTTTCACACACAAATTAACCGCTAATGTTTACAACCTGCTGCAGGTCCAAACCTGAATGGATTATTCGGAAGGACTTCAGGGACCACCGCTGGATATACTTACTCCAAAGCAAACAAGGACAAAGCCGTTGTGTGGGACGAAGAGCAGTTGTACGAGTATTTGTTGAACCCAAAGAAGGTAATGTGTTGCTCTGACTGTTTTGTCACGTTATTAAATATTCAGACCTCGTAGGACCAGACTGAGACTCGGAAGTCATTCAAACTCTGTCTTGGAAGTTACAGTATCCCCAAGCATTCTTGCTTTGCAATCCCTAGAAACACATACATGGGGCAATTGGCAGTTTCACAATTGATGTAATTGGTTGACGAAAGCATTCCTGTGTTGACGATTGCAGTACATTCCTGGGACGAAGATGGTCTTCCCCGGGTTGAAAAAGCCACAAGAGCGAGCAGACCTTATTGCTTACTTGAAGAGTTCGACATCGAGTTGAAGATCTGCACACAGTTTTGTTGTTAGAGCCTAGCAGCCTCTTGCAGAGATTAGTAGGGGCTACAGTAGGTATCATCTACATGAGGGACACAGGATCGCTTGGAATGTGTGTTTCGATCAAGTGATTTTTGCCCAATTCTTTCCAATGCACGGCAGTTTTGTTGAGCACATTGCAATAAAGCCGTGGAATTCTACTTCCTCTTGTAACTGCCGCCTTTTGTTGTTTTTCACTTTTTCTTACGCTTCTGATGCTCTCTGACATTCATGTGGCTCACCCAAGTCAGTGCTTGAGTTGTACATTTTGACTGTACACCATCCATTGATGATCTCTTTTCTGTTTCTATGGTGTCCGATTCTCTGCATGTATAAAATACATATAAATATATATGTAGTCATATTAAACATGATATTCAGTTATTCAGAAAAGAGTTCTGTATGTGATTTCACTTTTTAGATTAGAATTTTGTAGATTGGAATTGTAATATATTTTACAGAATTAAAAATTAAAGCAACCACTGCCACAAATTCTGACCTTTATGTTCTCCTAAACACTTTTATAACCTTCTGCTTTCTAGAATATGTGATGAACCTTGGGCCAGAATCTTGATACCTTGTACACAAGTCTATTTATAAAGTTTTTCTAAAAAGCATATTTTAAAAGCTTGTATGAGAAGGCTCTGATCAAAGTTTGAAAAGACTCTTCCTCTGGTAATGTGAACGGAATTACTCCAAAAACTCGCATGTTAAACTATATGTCTTGCATGCAGAAGCAATTACAGAGACAAGATTGAAATAATCAATAGTGATTCAATTTCTCTCTTGAATTTAGTTTGTGTTGTGATTTGCAAATGTTGAGTTTTGGCTCGGATATGTTTACTTTATTCTAGTACAAGTTATTTATGCTACTAATTTTTGACATTCTTTGAATAAGATTATTGATTAGAGTGTTGATACATTACTTCTGTGAAAAAAGAAGTGAAGTGTTGTCGGATTTTTGACATTACTAGAAAATTGAATGCAACATTATCAAAGTATTAAAATAAATCTAATTATGCATATTTGATTTTCTGTTGTAGTGGATGTGGATAAGTTAGTTTAAGTTGAAATTGAAATTATTTTATTTGGAATCTAGGATAATTGACTATTATGCAATAGTTGGAGCAATAAGTTGATAAAGATTGTCATAGTTCATATTTGAAAACCAATATTAAAAACAATATGTACAACATAACCAATAATCAGCATATTCATGAAAGATATATATTTTTGAATTAGAATTTTATTTAATTTCTATATTAGCATATATTGTGCTTTATCATATTATTTATTTTTATTTATTTTTTCCTCTCATATTTGGTGCTTTAACAAAATTATAAATTGTTCTTTCAAAGATATGTGATAGAATCAAATCCTGATTTTTTAAAATTAATTAATTAATTTTAGGGCATTATTAAATTTTAACCAAAAACTCATTTGATTGACTTTTTTCTTAAAATAAAATATTTTCAAATTATATAAATCAAATACTTAATATTACAATTTTTGTCACTATAATAAGACAGCTTACATTTTAACAATTTTTAAGCATTTATATCAAAAAAATTATTATGAATAATATAATTCTTGCAACAACCAACAAAATCTTTATTATATATATATATATATGTATATAGATATGATTATTCTATATGTAATTTGGTTTTAACAACTAAAGACTAATATCAAATATAACAAAATTATATTTATTAATTAATTTTTAGATTCTATATATATTTTATAATAATATAAAAACTATCTATTAATATTCTAACATTCTAAAAACTTGGCAACAACTATATAAAATAAAAAATTATATGCTTCAAAATATTAAAAAAATACTTTAAAAGCTAACTTAAATTCTCAACAAAATTATAAATAAGTTCATGAGAAAATTATTATTTTATGAGAAAATTATTATTGTTACTTTATTTGTAATATAAAACTTTTAATATAAAAATAATATTTGAAATATTTTTATAAATATTCTAATATTCTAATAATATTTGGTTAATAAATGAAGTATATAAATATTGTAGAATAAGTAGTTATTTTCAGAATGTAGATACCTAGTGTATAGTATAAACAGGGATAGATAACTGCTGAAAAGGTGGTTCAGCAAGTAGAATGGATGAATAGTTAGGAAAAGTAGTTATCATCTGGGAGTTGGTATCTCGGGGTAGTATGAGGAGGATGGGAGAGGGGAAGAAAAGACTATGAGAGTTGTGAGCCGGGGTAAGCTTGGTGCTACCTCTTTTCTTTTGTTTGTTATTTTCTTTGAATAAGAGGATTGAAAGTTTCTGAATATTGTGAAGTGAATTATGGAATGGAAATATGATTGGTATTATTTGAGAAGAAGAAAGATTAAATGCTGAAATGTGATTGTAGTTTAGCAGAGAGAATGAGTCTGTATTTGTGTGAAACATTGTAATGTGAATGGCAGTTCTGTGTGAAGAATTCCAGTGATTAGAACGAGGATAATTGTGTGCTGAAAGCTGTGAAGGCGCTGTATTACAGTTGGAGATTATGAGGGTGAATATATTGATAGAAATAGCAGTTATTGGTATGACTGAATTGCTGTAAGGAAGAGACCGATAAGGTGAAGGAGGAGATTATAGTTTCTTTATGTGTTCAGATATTGGAAATAGAGATGATACATTCAAGAGGTAATTGATTGTGTGACCCTAATGTGAACGCTTAAGCAACTAGTCATTCCCCATGTTTGAATCCCCCTATACGGATTTATGCTGGGAGGTTTCTTCCGGAATAAGTAAAACGAGCAATCACATTTTGGCGCCACTGCCGGGGAGTGATAATAGCTTTCAGTGTTAAGAATTAATTACCAAACGTGTGAGAAAATTGGCAATGGAAGACGATTTCAGTAGTGTTTGAAGTAAGAGTATGGTTATTAAGAATGAGAATTTAACAGCAAAGAGAATAAAGCAATCAAAGGAAAGAACAGAGAGATCGCAAGCAAGAAATTTGTTGCGTAATGAGCGAGATCGTAAATTAAAAAAGAAGCATCGACAAAGTTGGATTAAGCCGTGGTTGCATACTTGTCAGCATATTCGATCGTATCCAGAAGACGATCGATCTCTAATATTTCAGAAGTACATACCGTTAAAGAAATTGCCAAGAGCACTCGCGGGGAGCGCTGCTAATAGTCCAGCAAACCTCTTGAAGCTGTTAATGGAAAACGAGGAAGGCACAGAGGAATTAGGTACCCCAATGGATATCTTCTCAATTGGAAGTACGTCTGATTCTAACAAGACTAGTTCTGAAGATCGGCATAAATTACTTGTCAATAAAGATCAATTCAGAGTATATCAAAACCTGTCATTTTCACCTCATATTCAACCAGTAAAATTATTTGGGAAGAATAATAGTCAATTGGAAAGGCCTAGAAGTCTGAAAAAGACTTTTGTGGGAGACGGTTTTTATTTTAATAAGAAATTGAGCGGAACACCGGCATCTATAATGACGTCCGGAGGACAAGCAGTTTTGATTGCAGTTCAAATGGGTGCAGTAGGCGATCGAACGACTAGCATCGCGCCATTACCTACTTTTCGGGGTTTGCGAGGTGCAGATCCAGATCAACATTTGTCTCAATTCTTGACGGCGTGTGTAGCCAATAATGGAAGAACAGAAGACATTTGGCTGAGATGGCTGTCAGTGACATTCAAAGACACAGCGTTTGAGTGGTATAATCGCCAACCTGTGGGACAATTTATCAATTGGGAGGCATTGAAAAATATATTTTTAGCCCATTTTCGACCAATTGGTTTTGAAGAACGTCTTAGAGAAAAATTAATGAATAGCAGAATGGTACCAGGGGAAGCGGTATAGTCATATCATGGTCGTGTAGCGGATATACTTCGAAAATGGCCAAATAACCAAATGTCGGAATCATTTGTGTTGTCCATATTGGTTAATGGACTACACCCACCAGAATTAAAAATGTTTGTAAAAGAGGCCCAATCAGCCACCATTACATCATCTCTTGAGCGAGCAAAAGTATGGAAGGAATGTCACTATGACCAAAACTTAACAATTGGAGCCATGATGATTCCATCTCAGGGAGCTTATCAAATGACAAATTGGAATGACGCATCGGGAAGTTATCTGGGAAGGAATGATTATAGTACAATTCCACAGGGAATAGTGGATGATGTTCCATTGCAAGCTATACCACCATCATCATCACACCCATATGCGCTTTATTCCGCATATCAAAAATCAATACCTACAAAAGAATTGCCAAATGCATTGGTATCAAGGGATCCTAATGAGTCATTGCTGTTAACATTGATGAAAAAAATGGATGAATTGGTTGTGAATCTAGCCAAGGATAAAGAAAAAAGGCATAAACCAACCAATATGCATCCCAATGTCTGGTGCAACAATTGTAAGGGGCCAGGTCATTTAGTAACAGAATGTCCTTCACCACCCCAAGTGACTGTATAATGTACCTTTTGCGGGGGCAAGCATATTACCACCAACTGTTGGAATTTATGGAAGCAACAACAACTCAGTAACCAGATAATGACTGAACCAACTTTGTGGGATGTCAATCAAGTACAGACGAATAATAGGTTTGGCTGGAATTGAAATCGAGCGAATAAACAAAACAGAAATTATTCTAATTTCTTCAACTCTGAATTTTATTAAAAAGGTGTATCTAATACTCATGGATTGGCGATGAACTAACCAAGATACCATCAATATCCACCCATGACAAAGCCAATGCCAGACTCTACAGTAACAATGGGTCAACCAAGATCCTTTACTCATCCGACATGGAACAGACTTAGCCGTTATATACTCGTAGAGACACCCAATATCCCTAAAGGAGTTGGTAGGAGACCACTTCGTTGCTATCGTTGTAGATAAATTGGTCATTATGCTAATGAATGTCCTAATCCAAGGGCCAATGATGACTATGCTCCAATATGTGGAAATTGTAAGCAGTCTGGTCACACTTATCAGCAGTGCAATGCGCCCTTTAATTATAATAATCGGGACCAGCAAATGCAAACAAGCCAACCGATGGAGGACAAAGGCCCTGTTCAACAAGACTCACCAGTACATCGTGTCGAGGTGGTGAACGTAGTGCTTACCAGAGGCCAACAAAAAGACAAGAATCCAATTCAAGACATGGATGAATCAATCGC